GGCGGGGCCGGGGAGCCGGGCTGGGACCCCCTGTACCCGCCGTCGGGCTGCGGGGAGGGCGCCCACATTGCTCCCGCTGCACTACAGCAGCCTGCAGTGCCCACAGCCTCTTCGGAAATAGGGGAAATAATTTCTTCGATTTCGTTGTATTTGCTGTCTTTTTTCTTTCTTTCTTTCTTTCTTTCTTTCCTTCTTCTTCTTCCTCTTCTGGTTCTTCTTCTTCTGTTTTTCTTCTTTTTGAGGAAGGCCAGCGAAGGGAGGAGGTTTTAAAATTGAAATTAAAAATAAAAATAAAATCGGATCCAAAATCCTTTGCATTTTTTTTTTTCTCGGCGCCCTTATAGGAAGGAGGAAGTATAGAAACGTGGTTAATATACGCTGTGGTAATCCTATTTCTAGGTCTAGATCAGATCTCATTGGGGCCTTTGCTGAAGGACATAAATGAGTTGTTCTAATACAATAGATTTCATCCTTCCTACAGGGACTGGCTGACCAGAGGTTTTGTTAAAAGTGAATGCGAATAGATTTCTGCTACAAGTGCAGCATTATTATTATGAGCTGTAAGGTCAGACTATACATTCCGGGTCCCCAAAGCCTATAGACCCTGGGAAATGCGCGGGATATACCACGTCATTGTACCTGACAGTCTCTTCAATAGACTAATTCAATTATCGCTTGGGGATTCAGTCTTCATTGAAAGCAATAATAGCAGTGTAATTCGTTGGTAAATAGGTATTGGAAGCAGCCCCGCTCGAAACTTTTTTCGGGGCACAGGTTTACATCTCTGGGATTCCAAATCTCTCCCGGTACAAGCGCGGGGAGCGGGGAGGGAGGCAGGGAAGGGTTTTATTGCAGAGGAGAGCTGGGCTGCGCGGAGACCCCGGCGCGGGCGGCGGAGCGGTAGCTCCCGCACCCCGGCCCCGTGCCCTGGTGCCCTGGTGTACAGTTATGAATCAATTACCATCCGGGACCACCCCCACCCCAGCAAGGCATCCCGGCTCGCAAGTCAGAGGGAACTGCAGGAAAGATTTAATTTTATTTACTTCGTTGTCCGTCCCCGCTTCCCAAGGGGGACGGAGGCGAAAACAACCCGCAGAAGTTTCTGGGGAGGGGAGAGAAAACTGTCTTTCTTATTCTTGGCGGTATTATTGGTTTGTTTCTTTTCCTACAAGAAAAAAGAAAGAAAGAAAGAAAGAAAAAAAGAAAGAAAGAAAGAAAGAAAGAAAGAAAGAAAGAAAGAAAGAAAGAAAGAAAGAAAGAAAGAAAAAAAAGAAAGAAGGAAAGAAAAGGAAAAAGGACTTTTTTTTTTTTTTTTTCAATTAAAAGTTTAAATAGAGCCCTGAAACTTGATAATGGACACTTTAGAAGAAGGTAGAAAAAGAAAAAGAAAAGAGAAAAAAAGAAAAAAAGAAAAAAGAAAAAAAGAAAAATCAGGAAAAGAAAGATAAAAATGAAAGTAAAAGGAAAGAGGAAAGGGAACAAAAAAGGAAAATCAAAAGAAAAAAGAAAGGGAAAAGAAAAAGGAAAATGAAAAGGGGAAATAAAAAAGAAAAGGAAAAGAAAAATAAGAGAAAATAAAAAAGGAAAAGAAAAGGGAAAAGGAAAAAGAAGAGGGGGGAAAGGCAGAAAACCAGAAAAGACAGGAAAAAAATTAGAAGAAACATAGAAAACAGGAAAACAAAAATAAGAAAGGAAAAGAAAAAAACAGCAGGAGAAAAAGAAAAGAAAAGAAAAGAAAAGAGAAGAGAAGAGAAGAGAAGAGAAGAGAAGAGAAGAGAAGAGAAGAGAAGAGAAGAGAAGAGAAGAGAAGAGAAGAGAAGAGAAGAGAAGAGAAGAGAAGAGAAGAGAAGAGAAGAGAAAAGAAAAGAAAAGAAAAGAAAAGAAAAGAAAAGAAAAGAAAAGAAAAGAAAAGAAAAGAAAAGAAAAGAAAAGAAAAGAAAAGAAAAGAAAAGAAAAGAAAAGAAAAGAAAAGAAAAGAAAAGAAAAGAAAAGAAAAGAAAAGAAAAGAAAAGAAAAGAAAAGAAAAGAAAAGAAAAGAAAAGAAAAGAAAAGAAAAGAAAAGAAAAGAGAAAAAGAAAAGAAAAGAAAAGAGAAAAAGAAAAGGAAAGAAAAGAAGACAGGAGAAGAAAGGAGAGAGAAGAGCTCGCTGCTTTCCAGTGGCCTGGCTGCAAACCCCTTCCCATCTGCCTCCCGACCCCCCTCCCGCCTCCCACCCACATCTGCAGCCCACCCTACCTCGCTGCGAGCAGCACAAGTCACCTGGATCGGCTGCCTTAAAAACGTCCCAGCTCCCGGAGGTGTCTCTCGCTAGCTGGCCGGGGGAGGAATGCATCCGAGAAGGGCAGCGACATCCTCTCGACAGGCGAGCGGTCCGAACGCCTTTCTCCAGCCCCGTCTGCCTCCCCGACAATCTGGTTTAAGTTACAGTGGATGTTTCTGAGCGCTGCTTTACCTCACTTCGGGGCAGATACTCCTGTCCCCTCGCTAAATGCCTTACGAACAGGGGCTGAAAGTTTGTGGCGGGGGTTGAGTCCGCACCCGCCTCCGCTCCACCGGGCTGGTCCCGGCGTGCGCCTCGTCCTCCCCCTCGCAGGGTGTCGGGCTGGCTCGAACCCATTTACATTTTTAAATATGTTTTCAATCTCCTCCGTTTCTCCCTACCTACGTCTCGCCCTGCTTCTGTCTCTGCTCGGGAAGCCGTAGGGAAGGGTCGGGGATACTTTGGCCGCCCGGGGCCGGGGCCGCTCGGCGGGGCTCCGGCGGGAGGGAGGGAGAGAGGGAGGGGATGTCCCTGCCCGGGCAGGGTGCTGGGGGTCAGCGTTGGGAACGGCCCCCCAAGACTTTTCCCACCTCGAGTGGGTGTGGGGTTCTTCGTGGCGATAAAGCCTTTCCCTTCTCCGGCTTTTGGAGTTTTGGCTGACAAAGGGGCACACACGGGACCTCCGCCCACGGTGTGGGTGCAGGGAGAGTGGTGCGTCCAGCTCCACGCAGACTCACCGTGTCACCCAACCCACGCGTGTAGCCCTTCCGTGGGTGTATTTGCGTGCGAGGGTTTCTGCGTGCGTTTCTGCGTCTGAACGTGGGTGCAGAGGGCGTGTAGGAGAATATTCCCTTGCACACACGCGTGTGTGTAAATAGATGTAGCTGTTAGAGGGTGCCCACGAGCACGACTCCCATCTCGTCCCCCCGTCCCCGCGTTCCCCATCAGCCTGAGGACCGCCCCGAGGGGTTCCTCCTGCAAACTCCGCGCCCGTCCCCCGCCCGGAGGCAGAGGGACAGTCGCCGTGGGAAGTTTGCTCAACTCTTTGGGTTGGAAGGATGCTCCCCGGGGTCCTCTCCCCCTCCCTCTCAGGTGCACGCCTCCAGCAACGACTTGTCTAGATACGACCCCGAGGTGGGGGGTGGTGGCGGGGGGAAGGCAGGGGGAAGGGGATCCAGCCTTTATTTTTTTTACCCCGAGGTCCAAACAGCAGCACCGGGGCCGGGGGACATGGGGGGC